AGTGAAAAATTCTCGAAAGGGACGTTAAACAATATACAATCAATCAATATATAATACTACTCTACCTTTATTTGACCTAACTGTACCTATAAGGGGGGGGGGGCAACCAGCATTCAATGAACATTTAATATAATATAAAGTTATGTTTTAACACCCCTCCTCTCCCCCCCCCCCACCTTCTCTTAGCTCATAACCTATTTCTGGGCAAAATTCACAGGCTGGCAGAATGATCAAGCAATTAAGTTACTTCAAAGAGTTACTATTATTACACAGAAAACAAATAGAAATGGAAATATTTTTGTGTCAAAACCTACTGCAACACAGATCTTCGGTTTATACGTTCTAATGCGAAGAACCGGTCTCCAAGTCCAGCAGCGGATTCGAAACAGCCATGTAAGTTACGATTCTTTACTACGCCACCCTAAAGCTGATTATCTAACCATGGAGCCGCGCGGGCAACGAGAATAACAAAAACATAAGGAATACAGTATGTAACTTGTATTACTGAAATATATATGTTTGACAACATATCAACAATTTCAATTCAGTTTTCTAGCATTAAAATTTCTTCCATTTCTAAGTGAACCGAACGACAATGTTAAAAAAACGGAGAGAGAGAGAGAGAGAGAGAGAGAGAGAGCAATATTTATTATCGTTTCTCTTGTAATTGAAAATTAAAGGAAGTAAAACACCGATTCTCATCAATTTAGGATTTTCATAAACAGGAAATTATTTTAAAAAAAATATATGAAATTATGAACAGCTGTCAGAGAGTAAGAAACTTTTAAATGCATTTGCTTATTTATACTTTATAATCGAAGGTTTTCTTTTTCTTTTAAATATGAAAATGACATTAATCATCCTAATCAAAGTTTTCATCTTTTTGTGCCACATTACGCCTCTCTTCATAAAGAAAATTGCTGTTGCAAGTTGCCCTGAGGGGTAAGATATTAACATTCCATTTCTGATAATTTGATTATTCATATATAAAGTAGAAAAATATTTTAATCTGGTGATGATTTATAGGCCTGATAAAGATGGATTGTGCTGTACAAACTTTTACACAGACGGGGATATCTGTAAAGGTCATATACTAAACATTTTTTAACACTTCTACTGTGTTTGTTATCAATAATATTATAAAATAAATATAGAAATGATTTACGTTTTCTTGTTACCTTTTCTCCTTTTCAAAAATTCTTTTTGTATGCATGTTGACAAGAATGTTATATTGAAAAGACGATCGAGACAAATGTTGGCATTAACGTAAAGTATTTTTCCTCTTTGATAAATTCATGCACAGTACATAGAAATAAAGATAAATTAATTGTTTTTTAGAATGTCCTCCTGGATTTTACTCAGATAATTGTTCCCTACCTTGTCCTTCACCAAAATACGGAGAGAGATGTACACTGAAATGTACTTCTTGTACAAACTGTAATCACATTTATGGTTGTACCCAAACTACAGGTATTGTATTGAAACCTATAATATTCATCACAGATTTTATTCTGAGACAAAATAATAAAATTGATATGTGTCAAATGCATTGTTTTTAATAATTACTACATAAATTAAAAATAAAGCGCATGGTTCTCCAACCTCTTATGTTTCCATCAAATATATGATGATGATGGATGTTCTTTTTTATTATTAAATAGAGAGTTAACTTACGGTTTCTAATTTGTCATTTACACTCACTTATAAGCAAAATTCATCAACAGCTTAAATTTTACTGAATATATTCAACTAAGTCCTTTGACCTAGATCGTTAGACCTGAGTTTGATTCGCGTCAAACTTGAAATATAAAACCAAGTGTGAAAATTTCTTCGCCAAATATCTTGTACAAGAAGTGAAGGTATAGTGAGTGTTTTTGAATAAAACCATTAAAACCACAGTCCTTATCGAGATTAAGATTTCACTCTTTTAATGGCCCTGAGTGTCGCGTAAAGATCTGATTCTGAAGCCCGTCTCCGGCATGTAAGAGGACGTTTCTATGTCGCAACATATGTCTATGTCTTTGACGCAACATAACAAACAATCAACCAATCGATCAACAAATCGAAAAAAAAAATGTTAAAAAAAAGCAAAAACACCAACAACAACATTCTGACTCATTTTACATCCATATCCGCAGACAAAATAATTACTATTGGTCATGGGTGGCTAGAATACTAGATTCATATACTAGGAATTTAAAGATGAAAATCAGTCTCATTTTTAAATGTGAGAGTGAAGAAATTATCGTTTGACAATAAAAATATAACGAAGCTACAATTTTTCGCCGATAATAATATACATATAATGCTAGCTTACAATTAATGCTAGAAAACTTCTTTAACAATAAATGACTTATAATCTCATCAAATAAACAAATTTATGGCCTGCAACAAGTACAAAACATTTTGTAGAATCAAAACGTTTTCAAAACGTAAAGCATCGTTTTATTATTCCAAGATGGCGGAATTCTCTTATATGATTTTGAGGATAAATTATCCTAAAAGTGAAGACAATAACAGTTTTTCTTCTGAAAGTAAAAATACCATGCATTTCTTCTCCTCTAATATCATAATTCAATCGATTCCTGAAGATAGTAATGTGACAATGCACTATGTAGGGTTAGATTTTATCAGTAAAAGTGTCTGTATGACTTATGTATGGAGTTGCTTTATGTCCGTGTTAAATGTGAATGGGTCAATAAAAGAGAGACAATTTCTCTTTTATTCCACATAATCCATACTGTGGTTTTTCATATTTCGTTATTTACATTTTGTATTTCCTTTGTCTCAATTTTGAGCTTACGTGATGTCTTTTCGGTATTTTCACAGATGGATGTTTCTTTTAGCATAGTTAAATGATCGATTATTGCAATTTACATTAAAGTATATACATTGCATTCTTTTATTGCCAAGAATTGACATTTGTTTTATTATTTCACATCAACAGACAACGACAGTTTCAACATGCACATGAATGCTTATACTAGAAAAAGCACGTCTCATCTCATATCTGTAGAGCAAGCAAAAGATGGTTATGGAAATGACAGTCTTACCCCGAAACTGATGACTGGCAACAAACCCTCTGATTCAATTATTAAATTAATAATCTTCACAACAGGAACACTTATTTGTGTCATAATCATTCTAATGATTTTGCGAGAAATCTGTGATTACTGCAACATGTCGCATGATCTTACAAACAATAAGGGTACAGAAAATAACATCTACTCAGAGATGTTTGTATAACACAGAGATCTAACGCTTTAGGTCTATATTTAAGGTGACGGAACAAAACAAACTCTTGTGTTACGATAATGTTCTTTGGAATGATCATTATTGCATGTATTACTTTTATGACATTGAAAATTAATTGCAAAAGCCCGAAATACGTCAAGGCAATTAAAGTTTTTGTGAAATGGAGGAAGAGGTTTTAAGTTCGTAACCAGAAATATTATATTAACATGCAAAATGATTTTTAGGAACAACTTAAATAATTGATATTGTATAGAAGTATGGCTGGAAGATAGTATTTCTTCAGGGATATTGCAAAGCTGAGAGAACTCAAACTAAGAGAAACAGCTCATATCAGTGATACATTTCCATGTTCCACTTCTTTGCATGTGTTTGCAGAATCACCTGTATCTCTAAAAATAATAATAGTGGTTCTCAACCTATGACATGAAACATACATTACATAATATGACATACTAACTGATTTGAAATTTGCGCTTTATTCACAGTCCTCCCTACTTATCTTTTTCAGAAAATTTATGTTGATATTTATTTTAAATCAGTATTTACGTATTTAAATACATATACATATAATCAGTACTTACATAATAAATAAAATAACATACTTAAAAAAAAAATGATGAACCACTTGCGGCTGCTTCGAATCTGTACAAGGCTTGATGAAAATTTCTTGTATAAACTTATTTTGATGTAAAAAATATTCAATCAATTTTGTGGTATGAAAAAAACAGAATGTTTTTTTTTCAAATACATACGTGTACTTTATAATCTTTCATCCAAAAAAGAACAATAATAGATATAGTAAAAATACAAGAAATATTTTTTTTTACATTTGAAGTATCTTTTTTGCAAAGAGTCAAAATAATTTTAGATATACGTTTAACAAGCTCCTAGTATGTATGCATATATAATAAATACATTGTATCACCTTTTGACCTAGATTTTTGTTGACATTCTTGTCTCTTGAAACTTTTTGTATAATTATGAAGTACATATATTTAAAGTCTGCCAATTCAGTCTGGCCTATGTTTGTACCACCAATGCGTTTTGTTACCCATGTTCATTTGTGTATAAAATTAATTTATCATTTTCAAAACTCAAGAGATAATTCTAGTTAAAAAAGTAATCTCCCAACTGTGAATAATAATTCAAATTGTTCATTTAACTGATCAAATCAGTAATCTGGAGCTTTAAAGCTTTAGCGCTGTAAATATTAATGATTTGCATTTTCCTTGAGATAAATTGGATAGATCGATATTTCTTTTCATCACCGTCTTCATCATTGCCTTTTTATTCTAAAGTAATTGAAGAATTCAAAATGCTCGTCACAGAGAGCCATTTAGCAGTCAGGAATTTTTGTCCCATGTCCTACTGGTACTTGGGACTTCCGTTTATGCGTTCTAATGCAAAAGATCGATCTCCACGTCCAACAGTTGATTAGAGACAGCAATGTAAGTATCTACTCTTTACCCCTCAACTCTAATGAAGACTCTCTAACCATTTGCTACTAGTAACTTGCTACAATAAGTAAGTAAATTTAGCTATTAGTAACTGGCTAGTAGTAACTGTTTTAAATATATTAAATAAAGGCAGCTACTGGTAACTGGCTACGACAAGTGGGTAAAATTGGCAAGCCTACTGGATTTTTACGAGAAGCACTGACTTTCACAGTTGATGGTTTACTGGACATTTAAACCTGAATCATGTATGGAGGTACGGAATTAATAATAGATAAGAACACCTTTATGTCTCCAAATGCTCGGCAGGCTCACCGCAGCTAGTTTTTGCTAAGCTTGCTAAAGATTAACTCAAACACATTCACAGAGATGAATAATGTCATTTATTTAAATGACGATATAAAAGAAAATACTTTATACAAAAGAATGGGGATCAGACTCACAAGCTCCGATTGAAATTACGTAAAATATGAAAAATGTCTGATCCCTCAAAAAATGACTAGAAAAAATTCCTATAAAACAATAAGATAAAACATTTTAAGAAAAATATAGCAAAAAGATGGCACATCAAAACAAAAGGGGGTGACACATCAAAAACCGTTAATACATTTTATCAAAATGCAATGGGTAGGATTGCAGGGGCGGTGGCGGGTCTTCAAAATATACGTGGTTCCAAAATTACTGTGGACAGCGCGGGAATAAAAATACAAGTGGTCCGCTTAGCTGGCCACGTGATACTAGCCCGCTAATCATTGGCTGGAAATTCGCATACCACCGGCGTAAAATCCCAGCCCGCAAAATCTATTACATAAACCATTACACCCATGCACATACAACGTATTTAATACATAAACAACGCATTTAATACATAAATTCAATTATAATCATAATTGCTGTTTTATGTCTCCAAATGCTCGGCAGGCTCACCGCAGCTAGTTTTTGCTAAGTTTGCTAAAGATGAACTCAAACACATTAACAGAGATGAATAATGTCATTTATTTAAATGACGATATAAAGAAAATACTTTATACAAAAGAATGGGGATCAGACTCACAAGCACTGAATGAAATTACGTAAAATATGAAAAATGTCTGATCCCCCAAAAAATGACTAGAAAAAATTCCTATAAAACAATAAGATAAAACATTTTAAGAAACATATAGCAAAAAGATGGCACATCAAAACAAAAGGGGCCACAAGATGTGATATGCTTGCTATTCGCATCCGTGCCATCCAAGGTGAGCATGCACACACACAAAAAAAAAGGTATTGAACAATATGCAAAAGAAAACAACAAACATTCCAACAGTCTCTAGTCTATAATATAAACACTTGCTACGCTATCTACTTCTAATAGAAAGACAGCAGTTAATCACTGTACTGTCCAGCTGAAACTTGCAAAAATAATTCTCATCGTATTCCATCGGCAGCGTTTTAGCACTGGACTGCTTATCTATGCCTAATAAAAACATTGCAAATAACGAATATTGTCATATGAGCCAGCAAGCAGGAGAGGTAAAATAAGGGTACTAATAAGTAGATAACAGCAGTTAATCACTGACCAGCCAATGACAGCAGTAAATCACTAACCTGTCTCAACCATAGAGCTGCACAATGTTTATTTGTTTATAATTCCGCTTAACGTGCATCGCGCGAAGAAGATATAAAGCAGCAGTTAAATCACTGACCTGCATGTTAAACCATATTAAATTTCAAATGACTTTATCCTGATATACCTATGTAAAGCATTTGAATTCCAGCGACCCAAATGTTGAATGCAGCTTTCTGAATATCCTAATTGCGCTGCATGAGTAGCTGCACCTATACGAAAACTATGACCTTTAAAACGTTTGGGATCAAAACCTGCAAAGGATATTGCTTTTGAAAGCTGAGAGCTGACAAACGAGTAAGTAACTGGGGTGCCGTCTACAAATTGAAAAAATGGACCTGATGAATGGGATGATTTTTTGCAATACTCATGCATGGCTTGAACAGGACAGAATTCACCCGAACCTCCCTGAATAGAAACAATTAAAGGATCATTTTTCTTTTGTGTTTTGTGGTGACGAATGACAATTTGAACACTGTGTGGCAGGTTCCCATCACCATGAAATGTAACGTCCTGTACTTGCAAAACACGATCTCTGTCAGCTACTGACTTTACAACAACCTCCCCTAGCCGTAGAAATGCATTAAAACAAAGGAGATACAATGCTTTTAATAACAACTGATTCAACGGCTGAGATACTGTCATTTTATTTGCGTTTATAAGTTTGTGCAGGATTTCCTTAGTAATGGGTAGCCTAGTATCTTGTGAAGGTAACAACCTACTACACCCTTTTAGTAATTTCCTAACAATAAAGGTTTGAGTTGGGTCAGGGAGGTTCAGAAGCTTATGCAGGTAACTTAATGCAGATACATGTGATGCAATACTACTAGCACTGTACTGTTTATCAAATAAATAACCAATAAAATTACAGACACTTTGAAGACTCAATGGAAGCGAGCTAGCACCTTTATCCATGGTTTGAAATAGGTTCCACGACTGTCTGTATGCAGCACGTGAAGATGCCGAGAGCGACGCAGCTAAAATGGAACAAGTAGTTAAGTTCAGATCTGCAAGAGATGAGAGGGGATAGGAGTTGGCAGATGGTCCAGGTGAGGAGCCTTCTCCCTGACTGCCTGAAATTGAAAACGTGATAACTTATCTGCTATAATATTAAATTTCCCTGGGATATGTTTTGCTCTAAACCAAATATTGTGCGACAACGAAACAAGAACTAAGCGGCGCACTAATCGCATCAAAACTTTGTCCTTACTAGATTGTTTATTTATAATATGCACTACTGCCATGTTATCGGACATGAAGATAATTTTCTTATTGCTCATTTCTGAACCCCAAATTTCCAGGGCAAGGACAATTGGGAACAATTCTTTTATTGCGATATTTATATTGGCAAGGTTTTTATCCCATTCCCCAACAAACCACTGAGAGCCAAATACTGCAGCGTAACCCAAAGACCCTGACGCATCCGTATATAACTTGATAGTATCTGAGGATTCCCATGCCTCTTGAAACAAAACCGATCTCCCGTTAAAATGATCTATGAAGTGAAGCCACATAGTCAGATCTGCTCTTGCCTCACGAGAAAGGCGAATATAGTGGTTCGCGCTTTTAATACCTATAGTTAGATCAATCATGCGCCGCAAAAAGGCCCTTCCAGGAACTACAACTGAACAAGCAAAATTCAAAAGACCTATAAGAGACTGAAGATTTTTCAAGGTAACCTTTTTTCTCGTATAATATTGCAGAAGCAGGATGCGACATTTATCGATTTTTTCCTGCGGTAAACGACTAACCATCTCCTGAGAGTCAACTTCTATTCCATAAATAGTCAAAGAAGTAATTGGCCCAAATGTTTTCTCCTCATTAATAGGGATGTTAATTCTCTTACACAATGAAAGGAAGTTGTCTAAATCATGCTTGCACTTGTCTGAATTTGCCGGGCCTATAAAAAAGAAATCATCTAGAATGTGTGACATTCCTGAAGCGCCGAGCTTTGACAACATAACCCACTGTAATGCATCACTCAACCTTTCAAATATTTGACATGAGCAGCTAGCTCCCATGGGTAGACAACGTTCAAAATAAAATTGTCCTTTCCAAACAAAACCAAGAAGATGGTAATCGAGTTCATTTACAGGCATGATACGAAAAGCATCTTTGATATCTGATTTCGCCATCAGGGACCCTTTACCAAATTTACGAACCAGAGCAACCACATCATCAATAGAATCATAAAAAACTTCAGCATTTTCTCTTGGGATGTTAGAGTTTACAGAGTCATGCTTAGGATATGAAAGATCGTGAATGATTCTAAATTTATTGGGGTCAGATTTAGGGACAACACCCAGAGGAGAAGTTTTAAAATGAGAAAATGGAGGATATAAAAATGGCCCTAAAATCCTATCAGTGGCTAAACCAGCATTAATATAATCCTCAACAACTTGAGGATGATCGAAAGCGGATTTGTGATTATGAGGAGGATGAGCTGATGGGAATGATGTACATCCTAATCTAAAACCATATTTGATGCCATTAACTAAGTATCGTAACTTGGTAGTTTCATAACCCATTAATTCATTTTGTAATTTTTCCGGGTTTATGGGTGTTGGTAGGGGCATCCTCTCGCGTGGTAGATGCCTGGGAGACTTTGACTGCAGTGCATTGTGCTTTGGGATGGGGGCCATTACAGGACTGGCATGCATGGGCATATTTACATTGTTTGACAGTACACTTGTGTCCTCTGTTGTATGCGTAGCAAGTTCTGTAAACGTTTGCACGAAAGGGCTGATTTTTTGCGACATAAGAATTAGATTTATTTAATGACCTGACACCCATGGATGCTGCTTTAAGGCGGAGCTCCGTAACAGGTTTTTCCCAAGGTAAATTTGCCGATTCTCTAATCTTTCTAAACGATTCATCATAATTTCTCCAGGCTTGATCAACATGAAGCCTGCTGATTTCGCGGACGGTGTAAGCGTATTTAATCAAATTGCATGCCTCTTGGGGAAATTTTTGTAAGTAAATGCAACTGAAAATATGAAAAGCATCTGTCCATTGATTTATTGACAGTGGGGTTTTGTTATTCGATGCTTGTTGAAATTCAATTTTGCCTGCCTTAATTGTTATTGATAAGGGGTCCTCATTTGTGGATGGCAATAGTAAGCGCATCTCCACATACTCATTATTCCATATTTTTTGCTTGATTTTGGGAGACACCATTGCCCCAAGAGGCACACAATCACTTATTTCAATGGGAAGATGCTCATATGACCTGCTTGCTGACTCACCTGCAAAAACCGTGTCTAATAAAGATGTGAGTGACGAGGCAGCTGCGGTAGTTTTTTCTGTAGATAGCGCTGCAGCGGTCTGTAAATTAGGCTGGCTCGTTAACGCTACAGGGGGCATCCCCGTTGCCGTTTGATTCAGAGGAGGTAGAGATTGGGACGCTGATAGGGCAGGTGCGGATGACATTTCTGTAGATTAAGCTGGCTTGGAGTTAACGTCCCGGGGGACACCACTGTTGAAGCTTGATTCAGAGGTACAGTTTGTGATGCTGCAGCTGTGCGCGTATCTAAGTTCTGTTGTTGCATCAATATTTGTTTAGCCAGTTCAGCATAATCAATTGAGACCTGATTTGCTATTTGATTGACAGCCGGCCTCGGTTCAAGAGTTTCTGGTTGTTGAATGGCTCCCTGAGAGCCAGCGGTCGGTGCTCCTATGCCGTTAATCTGAGGCAGGGGTGGTACAGATGTCAATGTTTCTATCACTGCGCTCCCCGGGGACTGCATCCTCCTCCTTTTTCTCGGTGCTTTTCCGGCTTGCTTTGGGGGCATTGTTCCTGAAAACAATACTAAAATCGTTTAAAACATGCCAAAATGATAGAATCTTGATTACAATGTTTACCTGTTACCCAGCAATCACTTTATATATCTTGTCGCCTTACGATATGTGCGAATTAATGAAAAAGTTAATTCAACTAAACACTGGGTAACGTATCAACAATTACTTAAGTGAAGCACACAGTGCAATCGCAATTGAATTCCTCAAGCAATCATTAGCAATAAAACAATATAGAAATTATAAATCCAATGTTTATCCCTATGTACATACCATAAACATTAGCACAGTTTAGAAACTTGATAGACAAAACCATTTAATCAAGTGCGACTGGTAAAACCATGTAGGAAGACCACAATTCTGTACTATTATTTAATACTTGGATAGATAGGTACACAACAACTTTGAACCTTAACTCCCACACAATAAGTACATATATGCGGCCTACTCCGTACCATTGTTAAACATGGGTAGGCACAGATAAACTTTGTACCTAAAAACTCCCATACAATGAGTACATATATGCGGCCTTAACTCTGTACCATTGTTAAACATGGGTAGGCACAGATAAACTTTGCACCTAAAAACTCCCATACAATGAGTACATACATGCGGCCTTAACTCTGTACCAATGTTAAACATGGGTAGGCACAGATAAACTTTGCACCTAGACTCCCATACACTGAGTACATATATGCGGCCTACTCCGTACCATTGTTAAACATGGGTAGGCACATATAAACTTTGCACCTAGACTCCCATACAATGAGTACTTATATGCGGCCTACTCCGTACCATTGTTAAACATGGGTAAGCACAGATAAACTTTGCACCTAGACTCCCATACAATGAGTACTTATATGCGGCCTACTCTGTACTATTGCTTATTATTTGGGTGGGTTCATATATTGACTGTGTACCTCTACTTCCAAACGATAAGTACATAAGACCTAAACGTCATACCGATTGTAATCAATAATAATCAGACAGAATATATACTTTGACTTCTAGTTTCCTACCTATATTGTACGAAATAATAAACAATAAAGAAACGAGATAATGCGAAACAATGCCCAGATAAATAACTGCTTCATAAGACGAAAACATTGTCATTATGAGCCACCTGGTCCTGAGTATGACTCGTCAGTAACAAGTTCACCAAACATGCATGCATGATTCTAAATATTTCAAACATTGATTTAATTGCCTAACAGCAAACAGTACATTAATTATATCGAATGATTGTAATTATAATTAATAACTACATATCGAGGACGATTATATTTTATATTTAGACTAGTCACGTGATGTGGCAGTCACGCGATTTTAGCACATTGACTTGAAGTATTGATGATACATATAAATATCACTAGTGCAAGGGCAAAACCAAGTTAAATTTCCAAGTTTAGTATATAAATATTTTCAACACGCATCGTAGTTACTAAAAAGTGCTGCGATCCTGTCTAAATTCTGTAATTCCATTGTTAAAATTATACTTTTAAGGCCAATTGCTATATCTTTTGCTAGTCAGCGGCATGAAATATTGATATAATTAAAATGTGTTTAAGATTTGATCAGGATCGCAGCACTTTTCAGATACCTTAATAGTTCTATTGTTGAAATGTAAAAGCTTACTTTGATCCATAGAGTGTATGCCCTTGCACTAGATCGATTTTTTAAGACCCCCCACATTACCTTCCGATGTACTTGCATACAAATATACGGCAGTGTCAACTAAATACGTAATGTACAGAAAAAATATAAATAAAATACTGAAGAAGACATTAAATTCAAGTTATTAGCCTATAGAATATCTGTAAATAATATTTTGTTTAATTAGAGAATACATATTTTGTTGAGAAAATATTACTTGATCTGTCTCTCACTGAATACAAACTACGTCACGTTGTAAGAAATGACGTCATTTTGAGAAGTGTATTGCGATCAGTGACTTGTTTATAACTTGTTATGTGGGATTTAACTGACGACAAAACAACACGCTGTAGTAAGTTTTTATGTAGTTTGATGATTTCTTACTGGTCAAATTAGCAGATAAACTCATTTGGTGGTATTTTAAGGACAAGTTGTATGACGTATATTGTGTATGATGTCATAGTCAAGTTTTCTCGTACAAATTAGGCTCCGCCTCCTTTTTGTAACCTTAACTATGCTGCGTAGGTTGAGCCCCTAATGTTGTTAGGGACACTTACATGTGAATACTGGGGGTTGAGGGAAGTATGGTTGTCGTTTTCTTTAAGGACAACTGATGTACGCTTTAATTTTTTTTTTTATTTGGATGAATTAAATGTTAGGCAAAACATTTATATCGTAAAAAAGCTTCCGTACATTGTTCTAGTGTAAAAGTAAGCTGTCAACCATAAAAGTCAGCGCTACTCGTAAATGCCCAGTAGTAACTGCCTATACGAAAAGTAAGTAAAGTTAGCTACTAGTAACTGGCTACTACAACGTAGTACATGTAACTGACTTGAAATGTAAATAAAGTTAGCTACTTGTAACTGGCTAGCTACGAGATGTGATTAAAGCCAACTACCAGTAACGAATTTCAAATGTGAATAATGGTACGTAGCTTTTAGTAACTTGTTAAAATACAAACACTACTTTGAAGAAAATAAAAGTAATATATAAAATGCAATGAAAAAAATGAATACAATTTAGTATTTTGTGTCCATACTAGTAGTCAGAATATCTTAAATTTGCTATCTGATCTGGCATACATTGAAGTAACAACGATATTTGTAGTGATATTTTCACCTACTAATCTTTTTTGTTAAATATGATTATTTTTTTCAGTAAAATATTTACATCCTTCATTTAGCTGTGTAGTGCTGATATCTACTGATACTGCTTATAAGAAACACATTCAAGGTTCTCTACATAAAACATGACTGACGATTTACGTTTGTCCTTTGTCATATTTTCAGCTACTAGTTTATCTCGTGAGAGATATGAAAAATTAACCATACAGATCCTAGTATTATTTAGTAACTTTCTAAGTTTTGCAGTAAAGACAACAGATTGTCAGTAATTTTCCAAGTTTTTTCAGTACATGTAAAAAATTGGGAATTTCAGTACATTTGGACTTAGTAGTGTAATTTCTAACATTGATTGTATCTACCACTGAAGATCTTTTGTAGTCATTGAGGAAATTTTTCTTTGTTGAATATAGAGTATGTTTCTTTAACATTTGTGAGTAATGCTTTGAACTGCATATTTGCTTGCAGATATGTTACCTCACAGCTTAAAATTATACATCCTTAACCCTTCACTGATCATAAAAATTGCTTCTCGACAATA